TAAGATAATAAACATATCATATATATTCAAGTCGCTAACAAACCAATATAGGCCCACTAGATTTTCACTAGTAATACCCTAAGGTCCGTAAACCATATCTACAATAGCATACTAAAATTTGGTGTCAATTCAAAGGTAAGATCGCCAATTGCTAGAATATTCAAGTGACGGACCTTATCGAAAATATACTCAACCAACAACATTTCATAAATCAAATGTTACATATCAGAAAAATTCGACTTTTTCCAAAAATTCTCAAATTTCACAAGAATGAAGATCTCAACAAGTAGAGTAAACTTTATGCCTGTGGCCAAGGCCAATTTGGTTGGAAAACATCCAAAACTGGCCACAAACCGCCGGAAACCCTCAGGTGGGTGTTCTTCAATTCGACTTCCTCGGTGTTCTAACGCCCCTACAGCCTATTGGGTCTTGTTCCTGGGTCGGGGAGTTGACTAAGGGTGGTGGGTGGTGAAACTCACTGGAACGGCGGAATCGCCGTCAAAGCTCCATGGGTCACCTGCACAGTTTTTACACGGTTTTGGACCTAAAAACCCTTAACTTAGGGTGGAAATGGAAGATGGGAGATGGTGGAAGAGGTTGCAGGTGATGGATAGTTAAATTTTACCTGAAAAAAATGGTGGAATTGGCCGAAAACCACTCCGGGTTGGCGTGGGTAAATGGGTCCACGGGAATGGAGGGGAAATATCCCCTTTCTTTTCATTCTTCTTTTCCCTCCCGTTTCCTCTTCCTCCTCATTCCTTCTTTTTTTTTTTTGCCCTACTCCTAATCTGATTGGTCCCCCTTCCCCTTAACCTTTAACCCACATGTGGGAATTAAATAATTTCCACAATCTAAAGTTCACAACTTCAAACGTCTGTAACTATACCGTTATAATTCGGACTCGTAAACGGCTTTTGCCTATGCGTTCGTGGGTTCAAGACCTAATCAAAAACGTTACTTGTGACCTCAAAAGGTCAACGAGTAAATAATAATTTTCCAAACTTCACTCTTCGTAACTAGTTTAATTGAAATCTAATTTCAAATAAATCAATATAAATTCTCGAAAAATAATATAAAATCTCAATAATACAAATGCGTAGATTATGACACTGAAATCCAGGAACGGGATTTCACAGTGCCACTTGTAACAACCCGTCCCCAATTATTACAATTTTTATAATTTTAAAAAGTGAATTTACAAAATGCCCTTCAAGACAAAGTGTTGACTTTTGTTGACTGCGGTGTCGTGTCACGTAAGATTGATTTTCTTAGCGTATCCTCGTAGGACTCATCGTTGCGAACACGTGGGGGCAAACGGAACGTAGTTTGGAGTTACTAAAGTTTAAAGTTGGGGGCATTTTAGTAAATTGGTTTACTTCTGGAATGCTCCAGATTTTTGGAGCAAAATCTGGAAATGCCACGTGTTTGGCCCACATTAAAAGGTAAGAGTGTTGGGCGGTGGAGATGAAATATAAAAGAGAGAAAGGAGGGGGAACCAGACCAATGAGAAAGAAGAGAAAGAGAGAGTAACCAATGGGAAAAGAGAAAAAGGAGGGAAAGGAGGGAGGAGAGGAAGGAGAGGAACCTGCCGGGTTTTCCTTGACCTATGCCCAACCCAGCTTCTCCACACCTTCCGACGCCTTTACAGGCGATTTTTCCAGCGAATCGCCACCATTCATCACCTAGAAAACATTCCACTACCCTCCCTCTTCCTTTTCCACCTAAAATTATAATGGATTTGGTTGTATTTTGAGGAAAATATCCCGACGGAACCATGGGCGTGAGGACCCTTGGCCAAGATTCACCAAACTTGAAATGTTTTCCTTCAATTAACACCACAAATAGACTCTCCATGAACCTAGAAACAAAGCCCAATCAACCTTGGAGGCATCGGAGCTTGTATGGAGTCGAATCAAGAACCACCCATTTCTAGGGTGTAGGCGGGTTTTTATGAAATTGAGGCTTTTCCTAACCAAATTGGCCTTAGTCATAGGTCTGAAAGTTGCTTCACTCATTGAGATCTTCATTTTTTTAACGTTTGAGAATTTTTAGAAATAATTGAATTTTCCGGTGAGACTAGGCGGCCGACCGCCACCAGCGGTGGCGCGTGGTCGCTGATGCTATTTTGCACTAAATTGATATCCTAATCTCATATTTGATATCCATATGACGTGGATTTGAGTATTGTGAATCTAGTTTGATTAAGGTGCGTTACTTGATTATTATAGCAATTGACGATCCGATCGTTGGATCGTCACTAAACTTTGATACGTTATAATACGTAATATTTGAGGATATTAGAAACTTACGGATCGGGAATCCGAAGTATGGATCTTTCCAATTAGGACATGTAAATTATATGTTCTATTGATAAGAATTCTAAGACATGATTTGATAATTGTTCTAGGTGCCGATCATTCGTGACGCCTTGAGATTGTACTAGGGAGTTGTAGCGCAGACTCCAAGTGAGTGGGCTTTTGGTTTTCTATATATACGTATGTATACTTTACGTTTTTCCTAGAAATTGTTTTAAATGAAATGTGATTGAAATACCATGTCATACTTGCGTTATATTTTAGTATATGCATTGGTGTATTCATGTATAATGTTGCATGATGCTGCGGAGCCTAGGTAAGCTATTGGTGAGTACATTATGATGTTAGTGGTTGTGATGTATATGTTTATGCCTGGATGCATTTGGTACTCATTATCCTACACCCCGGTGTTAGTGTTTTGCCCGAGGTCAAGGCTAGCCTTCATGTGATCGTTCACCTCCTAAACCGTACACTCACCTTGGATCCAAGGCAGGTGCCAGCCTGTCGTACATACCACATTAGGTGGTTCCGACTCGTAGGTGACTTGCGATACTTCGCACAGCCTTCACGTGATCATAGCACTTAAGCGAATTTATTTACACCCAACCTGTTGTACAAACCACATTAGGTGGTTCTGACTCGTGTGCATGTTTAGAGCCGTACAAGTCATGTTAGTTGACTCCAGTTGGCATATCATTTTACATTGATTTATTTCACTTGGCTTATTTCATTGCTGAGATACTTGACTTGGCATATACTTGGTTTTCATTACTCTTAAGCATGATTTCTATATACATATGTATTATTATTTTTTGGGAAATTATACGGGTTTTACGGCGAGAGGTTATAATGTTTTCAAAAGGTTTTTATTAAAAACTTTATTTTCAGGCCCACTCACCCTTGTTTTTGCGCCCCTCCAGGTTTTAGTTGTTGGAAGTTCATATCAACAAGGATTTGTGGCGAATCTTAGTATAGGTGGCTACCTTTGAGGGTATGATCCTTACCCATACTACTGTACTTTACTTACGCTTTGACGTTGCTTGTGAAATGGGCTCGTTCCCGCTCGCAGTGCACTCTAGTCCTTAGGCACTTTTAGGATTAAATTTATTCATATTGTCCACAACATTATACTTTATGGCTTCGTTACCTTCTAGGTGTTGGCCAGCACAGCTCGATTCAGAGTCCTAGTGGATATTCCAGGTCAGGGCGTGTCACCACTTAAGCTCAAGCAAGTTAAAATTTAATTTGTTGGTGAACATTAGTTTTACCGAAATTTTGGATGTCTATAGATTTTTCACTTACAAATAGTTTTACGAAGAAATGAAAGTTGTCAAAAAACAAATCCTGAAATGTTTGTAATACCAAGATAATCATTAGGGATGGTAGTCTGGTGATTCGGACTAACAATGACTTGAGAAACAATTCTCTTAGCTTTGGAGAGTAGAAGCATAGCTCTCTACTCTTCCAATAATCTGTTGCTCTCTTAGTTTCGGCTCTAGGGTATCGCCTTTGATCTTAGGATTAGGAGTCTACTAAAAACTATGGTGGTTTGATCCGTGTGCATTGGTACAAGGTATGTAGGCAATCTAGTTGGGCTAGATGCAACCGAATCCTCCTTTTGGTAACATTCTTGTTCGTGATTTGTATAGTGGTTTGTAGGCAAACAACAACATGATTGTAGTCACTGTATCATTGTAGTTAGGATTTGCTATTTTGCGCTATATGTGTGGAGAAAACCTAATTTTAAGGATGCTTTAAAATGATCTCCTAATGCGTAGTTTGAGGAATTATGAAACAGGGCTTTTCACTCGTTGTCAAAAGTTGAATTGGAGATGTTTGTCTAGTATTTAACAAGTGTGAAGGGGTGAACAAATTATTTGGAAGGCTAAAATAACTCCTTGCTGAATTCATACAAACCAACAAGGAAGAATCAATTGAAAGTCATTGGAATCCCCTTCTTACAATTATATTCAAATTGAATGTTTCCAATTGTGGAGTTGGTAGTGTTGTTGGTGCCATCATTAACATGATCATACCATATTATCATACCTTTATTATAGGAAGATGACTTATTTGACACACTGAGATTCCGTCCTAATAAAATAAAGATATGTGTAAATTTTTATTTGCATATCCTTGTTTCATTGGCACGGGGGATACCACATGACGATGTACATTGTTATATAAATTCTTCTCTTATTATAGAGGTTACGTACATGATTTTTCACGAATGAGCGATTGAGATTTAATTAGGAAAGCAAAGTTGTACAGAAGTGAAAGCACGTGTACAAATAAGTGTATATTCTTATTATTTTTCTTAATAATTTTGTATGTAAAGTAGAAGATAAAAGGTAAATCATTTATAATCTAAGAAATTAGTGGGTAGTTAACTTTCCTCTATATCTCTAATTTTTAAATAAATAAAAATTTAAATAAGAAAGAAAGAATAAAAATTATAAGTAAAGAATAAGATGTAAAAATCACTTTGTACTATGGTCTAGTGTATTGTTCTTCACTCGTAACTGAAAGGTTTTAAATTTAATTCTCGTTAAAGATAAATTTGAATCATATTATTATAATTAGTTCATTATTATGGTTAATTAAAATAATATCATTTTTTAATTAAAAAAGAAAAAGAAAAAAGGAGAGTAAGGTGGAATAAAGTGTGATAAACACCCAAGCCTTAGCCACTGACTAGTGAGTGTGAGAGCGACTGCGACCAGCGAAGGAGCAAACACGGAGAGGGAAAGAGAGGGAAAGAGCGGGAGAGAGTTGAGAGCAGCAAAAGATAATAATGTTGATAACGCTCAGAGGAGCCTTTTCTTCCTCCCCGCTTTGCTTCAACACACCCCATAGCCGTAGCCGTAGCCATAACCACAGCTTCTCTCATCTTACTCCCTCACCCTCTCCAGCACTGAAAAGATCGGTCTGCAAACCCAGCTTCTCCGTTCAGAGAAAACCCAACTCCACCACTACATCTTGGAAGCTTGGCGTTCTCTCCAGCCGGTAATTTCTCATTTTCTTCTTCTTTTGACGGAATTCTGGAGTTTTCTCCCACTTGGGTTTTTGGATTTTGGTTTGTAACGCATGTTTTCAGTGACGATTTCATAGTCTCTGTTTGTTTCTTTGTTTGTTTACACTTTTCCATTCACAAGTGCAGCAGTTCGAATAGCAAGAAATTTAAATTGATGGTTTGGATTAGATAGAGTCGAGATTCGAAAATATTGATAGCATTCCCTCTCAATTTGCAACCTCAAGTGCATATTTGACCATTGAATCTTGCAATGCATTCAATCAAAGTGAAAGCTACGCGATACTGTATGAATTCAATTTGTTTTGTGTCCAATTTAAAAGAAAAGAAGAAAAAAAGACGGCTTGAAGTATTTCCTAGAACTATAAAGCTGAATTATACAGATATGAAAGTTATCGAGCTGATTTAAGTTATTTTGCAGCTCAGAAGCCTCGGTTTTTGATCCCTTGGGTATAAATTCAGATGTCAATTCTGGTGTAAATGCTACCTGGGAAAGTTTTGTAGGCATATTATCACAAACGTTTGAGAGTGCCTCAAGTTCGAAGAAGGAGAAACCCACTTCAGCTAGAGGCTTGGCAGGTTTGTTTCATAAAGAATAAGTAATATAGCTTAAGATCCTTAGATATTTTCAAGTTGCAGTTAAAATTTGTAGTTTACAGCAGTTGATTAGGATACTTTGACATTCACAGCTGCAATAGAGGACAGTTCCATTGATTTTGGAGACTTCTTTAAAGGCCCATTACCCGGAAAGTTCCTCAAGCTGTTGGCATATCTGGCCTTGTCTCGACTTGGGATATATATACCTCTTGGTGGGGTTAACCGTGAGGCTTTTGTTGGAAATTTGGACGGTAATAGTTTATTGAGCACCTTGGATTCTTTCTCTGGAGGAGGCATCGGAAGACTTGGGATATGTTCACTTGGTATTGTTCCATTCATCAATGCCTCGATTGTCTTCCAGCTTCTTGCACAAATTTATCCCAAGTTGCAGGATCTTCAGAAAAGAGAAGGAGAAGCAGGAAGAAAGAAAATTGTTCGGTATACTCAATATGCTTCAGTTGGGTTTGCCATAGTCCAGGTTAGGGAGTTAGGCCTTTCTTTTCAATTGCTGCACTCATTAATCAAAATGACAATATATGTTTTGATGACAACATTTGGAACTTGCAATCTATTTGCATACATATCATTGTTTTGCTAGAAGTAATTGAGGATTCAGTTAAATATCTAGGGAAAGAGTTGTATTGATAAGCACTACAACAATAGTAATTGCTAGTTATGGTGGCAACACAGGAGGTACTGATAGTCAAGGACACTCAAGCTAGAATGATGTGGTGATACAAGTGGCATGATGGTGGTGTTGATATCATTCCAGTGATAGTGACAAATGACAATAGTACATAAATGTTAGGATGAAACGTTGGTATTCATGAAAATATGGTATCGTCAGAACTCAAAGTAAAAGTAATGTAAACTGAGGGTAGTTCTGATGTCTGATGGTTTTGGGTAGTTTTTATTAGGAAAAGTGGTGAATACTCTAGATGAATCTGGAATCTAAGTATGCAGTTCACTGTAAGATATTGGGGCAGTCTGGGAGGTTAATATGTGCACCCAGTTCTGAAAATTCCTTTATGTACATCAAAATATAACTTTTGAATATGCTGTCTGTGCATGACTTTTTAAAAAATTATTATTTCTTGAGATATTCTTGCAATGTGCTTATATCTGCCTCTTTTTTAATGGAAGGCAATTGGCCAAGTATTCTACCTTCGTCCATATGTCAATGACTTCAGTACAGAGTGGGTTATCTCTTCTGTTACCTTATTGACACTTGGCTCAGTATTGACAACTTACATTGGCGAACGAATCACAGACCTAAAACTCGGAAATGGCACATCTCTTTTGATATTCACAAGCATCATCTCGTACTTTCCAGCATCCGTCGGTAGGACTGTTGCACAGGCATTTCAGGATGGTAACTATGTTGGACTTGCCACCATAGTTGTCTCCTTCTTTGTATTGGTCCTTGGTATTGTATACGTTCAGGTAAATGCTTCTTTTAATACAAATATCTGCTTTCTGGATGTTGAGAAACATTCGCAATGATCTAAACAAAGGGTTTCAGGAAGCAGAAAGGAAAATTCCACTTAACTATGCCTCAAGGTATAACACCAACAGAGGTGGAGGGCTTCAAAGATCTGCTTACCTACCCTTTAAGGTTTGTATTCTTGCTTCTTAATTTTCTGAAGTGGTAGAATTTCAGAGGATTTATGGTCATAATGCTAATGATTAGAAAATACTAATGTGGACATACTTGGAAATATGTGTAATTCTTTCCCTGCCAATTCAGAGTGGTTTTGATCACTTAGACCCCCTTATGGGATAGAATCTCTTCGTTCGCCCACAAAGGTCAGCAGAGAGACGTTTTAACTATGTCACCATTCAGCAAATTTATATGTTCCATTACTGGTTCTTGCTTACACATAAGTGTACTCTGTTGGAGAGTCTTCTCAATTCCTACTTGGTTAGAGTGCCAAGAAATTGGGAATGCCTGTCTTGCAAGTAAGACTACTACCATTTTTTTCTATTTTATTCCCCTCTAGTTGATGAGGGTTCCCGTCATACAGAAAGAGAAATAATATTTATATAAACCTTTCACTGCCTTACAAGCATTCCTCAATGTGATGTTTCTTGTCAAAAGATGGAAATAGAACAACTGGAATGATACCGTATCCATGTTCTTGTGCTTTAGTGGTGTTATTCCACTATCACCAAATCTCCAGTCTCAGCAGTAGGTTCTTTTATCACAACTTTTCTCCCTGTAGGAGTATCCTTTCTATGAAATTGCCACTTTATGCATGTTCTGGCCAATTCACTAATTATTTTCTGATCATTAAGATGTGTACATAGTACATACTCATTTGCATGTAAATGTGTGTTTTGTGATTGAATAACCTTTTTCTAGCAAAAAAACTAAAAATCTCTTTCCACACCTTTGTAGGTTCTGCCTTTTCTTCTGTTTTTATTTTATTTTCTGCTTACTCATGCAGTATTGCATGAATAGACGTATGTCGTGCTTATGAAGATAGTAGGTGCACACCTCAACTCAGGAAACAAAAGTATAGGAAGGTGATTAGAAAAGTTTCATTTTACTAATCTGCAATATCTAGGTTTATTTCATATGTTTTATATTATCATCGTGCATTCTGCATTGTTATAACCTTTATGATGAACTCAGCCTGCCTCTGGTGTACTCACTATCCTTTAGTATCCTTGATATCAGGTCAAGTGACATTCTGTAGATAATTGTTGTTACCCTTGGCTTCTAGTGTTACTGAATACATCATATTCTTCTCTTTCTGATATTTCCATTTCTTTTCCAGCACCCTAGTTTCAAGTATTCTATATGTAAGATCTTTGCCAGTAACAAAATTCCCTTTCCATTTTATAAACATCACCAACCAGTGCTATGGTTGCTTCTCAAAAGTGCTCTCCTTTCTTTTGTTCGGCTTATGTTAATGATGATTTATTTTGAATACTGCTTATATTGACGCTAATTTATAGATACACTTTTTCCGTCCTTATGCCCAATCATTTTTTTCCCTAATATGTAGTTTATCTAAATAATTCAACTAAGCAGGTGAATAGTTCTGGAGTTATGCCAATAATATTTTCTACATCATCATTAGCTCTTCCTGGTACTATAGCACGCTTCACCGGTTTAGCTGCATTGAAGAACGCTGCAGTGGCTTTAAATCCAGGGGGTAAGAAGCTGCAATTTTTAGTGGTAATAGGTGTTGGAGTTGGACATAAAAGTTGATAAGAATAACAACTATGTATTGGCTTATATACTTATACACTATCTTCATTTCAACCTGCATGATTGAGCTTGAAAACCTGCTACATTTTTTCCATTATTCACCTGTATATACATCTAGTGCATCATCAAACATATTTTATCGTCAAAGTCTTCTGCTTTGAATTTGACAATCTTCTTGATAATTAACTACAGATTTCTTGTTCGTTGTCAATATTAAGTGATGACTGGACTTGGGCTTTTAGTTATTTTGCTTTTTGGTTTTGGTTTTATTATGGTTATCTAGAGATCCTATGGAGTTTTGAGATGAAATTAGATTTTTTTGTCATTTGAATTTTCATTAATTTCCTTGGGGAAGTTGTAATGATAGCATCCATTACGGATGTAGGTTAATAAATTGAATGACAGAAGAGGAATAGTTCCATCGTCTAATTAGCACTTATATTCCATTTTTAGCATTTGGAACATCTGATATGCTAAAAGTTTCCAGTTAACTTTTTGTAGGTTCTTTCTATCTCCCCACCAACATCCTTTTAATAGCCTTCTTCAACTACTACTACACTTTCCTACAGTTGGATCCTGATGATGTAAGTGAACAGTTGAAGCGCCAAGGTGCATCAATACCACTTGTACGACCGGGCAAAAGTACGGCTGCATTTCTTAAGACAGTAAGTTTCTTCTTTGTCAAAGAAATATGTGGTTGATTATTTGCATTACTACCATGGATGTGTCTAATCAGTCAGCTTGATGCTCAATTAGCCATAAAACTCTTTTGTAGAGTTAATTGTGATGGGTGCATAAATTGGCATGTTTCCTTGGTTTTTCAAGTAGCATCAAATTTAATAACTAGTGAATTGCCATCGAACAATCAACCTGTGATGCTAAGAGTGAATATTAATAACATCTTCCTGTCTTAAGTGTCCAATTAGTTGCCTACTGTATCAAGTTTGAAAAGGTTATTATGAATGACTCATGCAGCTTTCTTTATATTGGTTTTACTTTTTCATAGATTGGTTATGATTTTCAAATAGAAGTATCCCGTACTAAGTTATCGCTTAAATGTCTTAGCTATTTACCTTCGTGAGTTTTCTTGAATGTCCAACGAGAATAGATTGGAGTTGGTTCTGTTGACCCTAGAAATTACAAAGCCTACGTGGCGCCCAATGCTGAGTAATTATGAGCTAGCTACGTAATTCTTGTGAATGAGGGCATGCCAACTCTCAGCTGAGCTCGGTCGCGCAAGTAGAATAGATGTGGCGGTGGTGGTGTTGAATGCGATGCTGACTTCTGTACTTGAGCAATTATAGCAAAGGAACACATCTTGACCTTGGGTTCTAGAACCTAAAGACAAGGTTTCCTAGATCATTGTGAAGCTCAAGATGGCCTACACCATCTTCGGTCACCTCAACTATATTCGTGAAAATATAGGTGCGCCGAATCGGTATCAGGCTGTAAGGACACAAGTACTCAAAAGAGATGAGCATTTTATGGTGAATGTAGTTTGGCTATCTGAATGTTGAATTGCGAAAGTGCACCGGAGAGTAACCAATCAGAGAACACTTCACTTCGTTGGGAAGCTGATGAAGTGACCTCTTTCGATGAAAAAGTTCGAAACTCTATTGGTTGAGACTTGGATAGATAACCAACTAACCAGAAGCTGTGCTGTTCACTTGTCCGAACTGAAGGTGCTCCTAAAGCGCCTAGTTCTACCACTCTAGTGCTATTCACTTATCTGAACTAAAGATGTCACCGGTTGCAAACACAGTGCTATTTACTTATCCAAACTGAAGATGTATTGGCGGGAGGGTTAGGATAGTGTTTTTCTCAAGGATGTGAGAAGGGGCTCTCTACGTTGCAAAACCTCTTGTATTTATAGGGATGAATTTTGTGATGGCCAAGTCTACCGGATGACGTAATTATGATGATATTCTGATTCGTTGGCATATTTGCTGAATATACACATAATTATTCTTGGCTGAAACTCTATTGCCTCCAAGTCTTGTCATCTTCGACCGGGACATTGAAGCTAGATTGATCATGCGATTGATTTGAACCTTTATCTGGAAACAAATCATGATCCTCAATATTTTTCTCATACAACAACTTAGAGTATATGGACCGAGTGCGTGCTGGGGTCCAAACAGGTCCATATTACCAAAAATAAAAAAAAACTAAATGAGGTTGATTGGTGCATCTGTTTTTTTCCCCTTTCCAGTAACTTCAATTTATGTCTTGAGCGGTGAAGATGTGGAAAAAAAAAAAAGCTTAATTTCAACTGACGGAACTTAAGATATTTGGGGTTACCCCTCTCTTATTTAGTATAAGAAAGACATTTGATACTATGCATTTGATTTTATTCACGGTAATGCCAACTTGTATATTCATGGCTTTCAAGGTTGATTCACAAAGCATTTTTATGTGCATCATGCTGATCCAGTGAACTTCCTTTTACTTTTATCGGGTTGCAATCCAACTTTCCATTGAAGAGTATTGCAAAATAGTATATTGCTTCCAAGTTCTCTCCATTGTATCGCTTTTTTCCGTATATGGATGGTATTCTTGATATTCATTAGACATGGGAGTCCTTGATACGTATTTCTGGTTACCCTCTCATATATTTATGACTTCAAGGATTGATTCACAACATAGCATTTTGTTTTTAAGTTCTCTCTATCATATGCCATTTTCTTACTTTTTCTTCTTCTGTGGATCTCCGTCAGAAAGCTTGAACTTCGTATTAAATGTTAGATCTTGTCGTCTTAGAAATGAAATGAATTATTAATGTCTTTTGATGGTTGGATGCAGGTTCTAAGTCGAATATCAGTGCTTGGTTCAGCCTTCCTGGCAATCCTGGCTGCTGGTCCTTCAGTGATTGAACAAGTGACGCACCTCACTGCATTTCGTGGATTCGCAGGCACATCTGTTCTCATCCTTGTTGGTTGTGCAACTGACACAGCAAGAAAAGTTGAAGCAGAAATAATATCTCAGAAGTACAAGAACATAGAGTTCTATAACATTGATAAGTATGGCCCGTAATGCATGACAGATTAAAAACTTAGTCTGCTGTACAAAGGATGTGTATGCAAAGGAAACTAGTAGGGACGAGGGGATGTGGTTTGGCATGAATAGAGTTTCATCTGTTAGACATGTACGAGTTGAGATACTAAAGATCGATTGAGGCTTGTACGTATGCTGCACTGCATCCACCAATTTTCTTGTAATATTTGAAAAAGACGTTTGGAAATTCAAAGGGAAGCAGAAATGAATTTGTAATGCTCAGGTTCTTACCGTCAAAACTTAAAAGCACGGCTGATTTAGAGGTGGAAAAGAAACCTAAAATTCCAAACCGAATCGAAAAAATCTCGAAATCGAACCGAAAAAATCCCAAACCAAACTGAAATTAAAAAAAAATTATTATTTAATTTTAAATATATATTTGGAATTGGAACAGTCATCTGATTTGGTTGAGATTTATTCTCAATTGTTGAATCTAAATAAACCCTCACTCAGAGTCTCAACCTCACCTCACCCTCCTCATCGTCCTCAACTCACCCTCACTCCATCACTCTCTTTCTCGACCTCACCTCACCCTCCTCGACCTCACCCTCACTCAGTCACTCTCTCATGACCTCACCTCCTCACCCTTGTCGCCGATTTCTCTCGATCTCTCTCCTCCTCCTTATTCGCCGTCTTCGAATCCGGCCACACCCACATCACACAAGTGACTCACCTTTCTCTGGACTGACCTATCACCTCTATGATCTCTCTCCCTCGACTTCTCATCCCTCACTGTGGAGCCTTCCTTCTCATCCCTCACTGTGCACCGATTCTCCCCCAAATCAGGTAAATTTGGGAATTAATTTAGGGTTTGAATTCTAGAATAGGGTTTGTGAAATTTGTTCATGTTTTGGATTGGATGTTCATGATTCCAACCCTAATTTAATTTCTATATTTATGTTTACCATCAGGTAAACGTTTATGATTTTATTTTCTTTTTCGATTTAGGAATGAGGCTATTACTGGAATTTGCAAGGTAAAGTTTTCTGGGTTTTTACTTTGTTGCTCCAAAAGGGTCTTAGAAAGTCTAATTCTTTAATACATTAATGTGGGTTTTGTTCAATTGGTGGGTTGTAAATCTCTTATGGATAATATCTAGATTTTCATTTTTTAATCCAAGGGTTTTGCAGCTCCACATTTTGATGTGTTTTCTGCTCTAGTTTGTTTATTTTTCATGAAAGTTCTGTATATTTTTCATAATAATTTTTGTTGCTTCTTTTGGCTTTGCATCATCTAATTTTTGATTTCAGGAAATGGAAAACCAGAAAGTAAAAATACATGTTTTGATGGTTTTTGCCTTCAATTTTTGGGGCTTTGTGAGGTAAATTTGTTAATTTTTTTCCTCGTTTCTAAGATTGCAGTATTTGTATTTGCAGGACCTCTCCTAGAAGGTTTCATCCTTGCAAGTTGTTCACCGATCTCCGAAAGCCTTAGCTGTGAAGCAATGTATCTTTGAACAATGCATGTGTGTGACTTATAAACCTAACTCTTAGTTAAAGGATTTGAGTTTAACTTATAGGTGAACATAAATTTAGAACTCTTTTTCTTTTTATTTAGATTACATCTATCATTTGGTTCATATTTGGTAATCTGGATTTTGTTTTCTAAGGTTTTTTTCATTTGGTTAACACTTACAAATAGGAATTTTGATTTGAAACCAATTTGAGTTAGTTGTAGTTTGGTTTGTGGAAGATGATAGGAGCATATTTAGGCGACTTAGTTGGCTTGTTCTTGTGCATTTACGTTGTTATTTCTTAGTTCTTTAAGTCTTTTAAGCCATTTTCGTATGTTTTCAGGTTCTAAGGGCTAAAGGAGCAAAGAAGTGCATTTTGGAACACTTTTGGGCTAAAGATGGATAGCTTATGCTTGGAGCCAAAGTGTTGGACGAAATTAAAGACCAAGTGAGCCTGGAATCGAAGGAAGAAGGAGGAATCAAGAATTGGAAACCAGTTTCCATTATGGGGAGTTTCTATTCTTGAAAGGTTTCCAATTGTGCAAGTTTCCAAATAATGTTGGTTGCCTAAATCACATGTTCTAGAAGCCCTAGACATGCCCTAAATTGTGCCGCACCTTACCTTCCTTTTCTCTCCAAATTTCTGGCCTTAAAGTCCTTTCCCTTTCTTGCCGTGAGTTAGCTTCCTTTTCTCTCCCAAAATCTGCAAGATTATGTCACAATCCTTTTCTTAAAAGCCTTAGCCGCACCTCCCTTGACCCTTCCTCTTTCTTGTCGTGCAAGGGAGAGGGTTCTTTCCTATTTCCTTGCATTAAAACACATTCCTTTTGTGTGTTATGCTATTACCGCAACTTTTAGGTAGGTTCCTTTAAATTTCTAATTTGATTTCCTATTTCTAAAAGCTTTTGACTTAAATCCTGATTACCTAAATAACCTAGGGTTTTAATTCCTGAAATCCTATAAATAAACATCCTTGTTGTAGCGACAAAACTCTCCATTCATTCACCATTCACGCCAGAAATTCATCCCATCCCTCTAACACATCCATACTTCACCATTCTTCATATTTTTTGCCCAAAACCAAGCCTTGCCGTCCCCTACATCCATCCCAACCCTAAATCCATCATTCTACATCATCCATAATCCCTAAACTCACCATAATCCCTTGTGCCGCAGCAATTAGGAGAGGAAGGAAGCCTTGAACGTTTCATGCTTGTAGATTGGAGCGTTCTTAGGTGTACTTCGTTCTTGTTTTCAATGTTTACTTTGTTATTATCTTCTAAGTTTGCTGTAATTATGAGTGGCTAAACCCCTAATTAGTTAGGGGAAAGTTTGAAGCCATGAACATGTTTGAGATATGAATTGATTTCTTCCAATTGTGATTTGTTAAGTTGTGATTGCAATTCAATTATCTGTTTTATTCAAAACTTGTTCTTGTATGTTGATTAAGGATGCATACTTAGTTTTCATTCATGAACTTGATGCTAGTTTATAAACGAGTTTCACCTAATCGTCACAAGTTTATAAACATGAGTAGTGAAGGTTGCTAGTCACAACCGCGTTAATTGAATTCTTGGCAAGAGTATCATGCATTCATAGTTACAATTGCCTTGTCAACACTTATGATTTTCATAGAGCATAATGATCTCTCACTGTATCTCTTCTATGCATTCATGTTGAGGACCGTTGGAGAATAATTTGAATTGTCGCATGCATCATCCAATTCAATGACATAAGGAAAGTTTGAGGGTTAATTAGTGCATCACGGTTAACTTGGGGTGTTGAGCATCATAGTTAGTGAAAAGCAATTGGAGAATCGATTCATATACAAATGTGTCATGTGTGGAGAATGGACCTCTAACTAATCCATCCATCATCTTGTTTCCAAAATTCGTTTTACAATCTGCCTAGTTTTATAACTTGTTTTGTTATTTCAATTTTCGTCAAATCAAAACCCCCTTTTACTTTCTTGTTCTATAGTGTTTAGAATCTGTTTAGTTTGTGTTTTAAAGTGTTTTGAATCAACCTATAATCTTAAATTCATCCAAAATTGTGTTTAAGGTCAGAAACTGCTTAGTTAGTGTTTTTAGGCAGTTTTGAGTCTTTTGAACTTGTTTTGAGTCCTTTGAGTCTTTGTGAACGTTTTTAACTTTGTTTTTATGTTTTTGAGTCAGTTTAGAGGTTTTAGCAAGCCCTCCTAATCCCCGGTCTAGAACGATCCCTACTTGCATCCTTACTACAATTTGACAACAAGAGGGTTAATTTGTGTGCTTAATTATTTTCGCATCAGAAGATTAGCTTTAAAACCCACCAAAAGATGTAACTGATTAAAAGCCCAAAAGCCGAATATGTCAAGTTTCAACCTAATAGCCCAAAAGCCCAAATTTAAAATTTAATCCTGATTTGTCCCGAAATCCTGAAAATATTTCAAGATTCCCGAAAATTTGGTTTGGGATCGGTCTTCAAATTCCCGTCCCAAAAAATTTTGGTTTGAGATTCGAGATAGTGTTTTTGGTTTGGTATCCCATATCGAACCAGCCCTAGCTTATTATGGTTTTCTTTATAAAATTTGGCAATTTAGATAACATTTTAAAAACAAATTATTCAAGATTCCAAATGAAAGAAAGAAAGAAAGACTAATGGCATGGGAGAGAGAAAGACGTCGGTGGTGGCCGGTGGTGGTCGATGGTGTGACGTTGGAGAGAAAGGGACCGATGAAGAGAAATAGATGCAGTGGTCTGTGATGCTGATGGTGAGCGACTGAATGCGTGAAAAAAATTGGGCAAACATTTAATTTGACACCCGCCCCCGTTCTTTTTTATTGGCAAAATCTCAATCCCATTCTCGAATTGGGGGGAAATTAAAACGAAAATGAGCACAATCAATATTTTAGATTGTTGAAATGGCTAGACGAACTCCCCAGTGTTCTATGGGCAATACCTCACTACCAAACGATGACCAACTAGTGAAACTCCAATCTCCTTGGCATTCAGTTCAGAGGCGATAATTTCTCCCAATGTCATCGCCCTAAGTATCAGCATTATACTACCAAGTTTAGAGCAGAATAAGAAGAAAATGGCCGCCAACCTAGACCTAGCAGAGGAAGAACACGTGAAGTTTGCCACCCACATCGCAGTTTACCAACAACAACTCCTCTCTAGCTACAACAAAAGGGCGAAAATCCAGTTGTTCCAGCCAAGAGATCTAGTCCCAGAAAAGCCTTCATCTTTGCCCCTAGGGAAGGCTCCAAAAAAACGAATCCCGCATTTTGTCACAACCTGGACTCGTGCAGACCGATTGAAGTTCGATGTCCCAAGCAGATCGAGGATTATTCAATTTATTTTGCAGTTCCTACCTTTTAGTAGAGTTTGATATGCTTCTATTTTCGATGAAGGTTTGAAGAGTTATCTATAGCTTGGCTCAATTGCATGCTCGCAACAGTCCCCATGATCTTTAGTGTGAGAGGGTAAACTAATTCTCGGACACCCTAGAGAGGGTAAGCTGCCTGAATATCCAGGCAGGGATGGGCCTGGTTGCCTTGGTGTAATTGGGTGCACAAAGACCTGCGCCGATATTCCCATAGTTAACCATAATAGTCTTCATCAAGACTTGGCTAATTGAAGAATTTCAAGCCCGTGGCTTAATTTGTGGAAACTCGGGTCTGTCTATCAGAAGAGGCATAATGTATTCCTGAACCTCTGCTCACGAAGATCCATACAACTACATGCCTTTGATGTGACTAGTTAAGTGACCATTCGTGTTC